ATATAATATTTGGGGGGGCGGGATTCCTCCACAGCACCCTCTACATTTTATTTCAAAAATCAGCTCCAAGACATGCTTTGATCTAGAATGATAAAGTTTTGTACATGTGTAATGTCTCAGGACCTACCAGAGCCCAAGTCTATCTTTTTGCACTGGTTGCATCAGTGCTCCTAATTTTTTTTTCTTAGGTGCACCAGCACAAAAGTTAGGTGCACACACATTTTCAACCATGTCGCGTTTAACATTGGAGTTTTACAGCTTCATTTTATTAATCACTGTCCATTAAAGCAACGTTAACTTGCAAATAATTAGTTAACAATCTAGTAAACATTAGGTTCTATATTTGAACCAAAATTGTACAAGGCCTATAACTTACTGAAAAGTATTTAAAATGATTCTATGAAAATTCCAATTTGTCTCTTTTCTTGTACATCTATCTGAGCTAACTCCCCCTACAGCTTTGAACATGCAGACTTCACATGCTGCATGCTTCTCTCCACACTGACTGGTGGTGGGATGGTGTGGGTGTGGCAGAGTGGAGAATGCTGATGCCTCGCTGTTTGCACACGGTTAGCTCTAAACCACACATACATGATCTTATCTGTACCAAATTTTTATGTGCACCAATGGAGAGACCTGCTCAACACATTAATGTGTTGTTTGATGAGATCACTTTAGCCCGCTCAGTTTGCACATGGTTAGTTCTTAATCACACATACTGTACATGTATCAATCTGCACCAAAGTTTGCGTACATCATCAGGGAGACCAGCTTAACATGTTTGTGTAGATCACATTAGCCCCACCCACTTTGCACACAGTTTGCTATAAATCACACATACATGATCTGATCTAGGGTTGGGCAATATTGGCAAAAAAAATTAATCACGATTAATTGTGGTATTTTGCCGATAACAATTAATTTAACSATTAATCCCCTGGAGTCCCTGGACGCCCTTATGTCATAATCACATGACCAATTTAGTGGAAAATATTTTCTCTTCATAAAAATCTGTTCCAAATTGTGTCAAAATCACAGACTTCAGGTATAAGATCAAATTTTCAATTGTATTGATAGATAAATAAATTGCAGAACTTTTATTTTAATGTTTGTCATTTTTGAAGTAGAGAGGAGCACCGAAAGGTCAGTCTGCCTGCTGGCATTAATCGTATTAATCGTCAAGTGCCAAAAAATAATCGATTAATGTTTTTCTGACGATTAATTGCACACGATACGATTATGCCCAACCCTAATCTGATCTGAACCAAAGTTTGTGTTTATCATAAGTAGTTTGATTAGATCACTTAAGCCCCCCTGTCCGTCTGTTGATTCATCAGTCTGTCTGTCTGTTCGTTCACCTTTTGGGGGGATTTAAATAATGAAGACCTGTTAGATGATTCCAACAAAGCTGCTAGCAATTCTTCTTTACTGAATGGTGATGGGGGACATCCGCAACTGTTGGCGTCGAGTTCTATCTTTTTTGTTTAAAGGCTATGCTTGTAGAGCACCTTTTTTTTTCAGTTTTAGCACCAATGCAACTTGGTGTGTAGAATAAACAAAACTCTTTTTTCCAGAACTGGAGGCAGTATTATAGAGACCAAAGACAAAAGCAGTATAGCATTTCATGTGCCTAATTTAAGACTAAACAACAACTTGCGTTCCATCTTTATTTGGTAGCAGAAATTAATGTTTGGTTGTGGGAGCAATAGCTAGAGTTTAGATCCTGCTTTAGGTGGCATGTACAAATCCTCTTTGCATTTCTGTTTATAGAGATGCCAGAGTTAAAAAATAAAAGTGGAAGATGTCAATATAGGAGCATTCACAGCACACTTTTCACCAATACTTTAGAAACAACACAGTTTCTATTCCATGTAATGTGATGCCCACTGCGTTTTCAAAAGGAAGACCTTACTAAGATTCTGCTAAGTAATTTTATTTTTTTTTATGTTTTAGTGGGATAGTCATCTATTGTGAAGAAGATCTAACAAAAATCATGAAATATCCATGTTGCACTTTTTAGTGGTGGAAATGTCTACATTAACAACTTAAAATAGCACATGGACAGCTTAGCTTAGCCCAGATTCTCCTAAAAAGTAGTGTGAGCAGTGTGATCTGTGCAGAGAAACTGATGCCCTGCACGGTAATCTTCTACAATTATTCAGAATCATATTACATTAGAAAATATGTTTGCTGTGATTGCTTTAAAATACTCTCCATCTGTGGAATAATAAACAGCTCATTGCTGTTTTTTTTCATGGACCCAGTTCAGAAATCGCTTTAGCACTGGAGCCAAACTTTTTGTGTTTACATGCGTGTTGTATAATGCTGACTTCACTGTAATTTACAGGATATTTGTTTCGAACATATTTACAAAATGCTACATTTGAAATAAATAAACTGATCTTGGAAAATATCTTAATTTATTCTTTTGTTCTGATAAATTGATCCAGTTTTATTTGGTATTACTTTTGTGTTGTGTACTCATGTTTATTTTTCTTATCTTGTAGGAAGAGAATCTGGATGGAGATAACCGTTACTACTGTGAGAGCTGTAAGAGTAAACAGAATGCCACACGGAGGATCAGACTTCACAGCCTACCTCCAACCCTCAACCTGCAACTCATGCGATTTGTCTTTGATAGGTCAGTCACAGAGTTCGGCAGTAGCTGCCATCACTAGCTAAAGTGTGCACCCTAATTACTAGAGCTGAATGTTGCATTAATTTCTGTTTCAAATGTATATTTTGTCAAACAGCAGATAAAAAAACCAACATGTGATTTTGAATGTTGTTTGCTGTTATCATTCTAGAATTGTGTTGCTGAGGGTGGCAACTTGTTGAAGTAGCTCTGTTGAGATTTTTTTCTTTTATGGGTGTTCGTTCCTTCCTTTCTGGGGGAAACGTTACTTTCTTTTGGACATCTGTTCCTCCATGTTTTGGATGCTTGGACTTATAAAGGATTGCGTGGAAACCATACTAAAAGTGAACATATGGCCAAAAGGCGAAAATGGTGTATGTCAAAAACAAAACATTTATAAAACTGTGCGTACGCATGTTTCTGCATCTTTCCTTTATAGATCACAGCTGCACCTCAGGTAGGGTTGGGCGATATTGGCAAAAAAATTAATCACAATTAAATATGGTATTTAGACGATAACGATAAATTTGACGATTAATCGCCTGTAGTCTCTGGATACCCTTATGTCCTGGTCACATGACCAATTTAGTGGGAAAGATTCGCTCTTCGTAAAAATCTTTTTCAAACTGTCAAAATCACAGACTTCAGGTTGTACATCAAAATTTAAATTGTGTTGATAGATAAATTACAGAACTTTTGTTTAAATATTCGTCATATTTGAAGCGGAGAGGAGCACCGAGTGGACTGACCGGGGAACTATCCAGTCAGTCTGCCTGGTGGCATTAATCATATTAATCGTCAAGTGCCAAAAAACAATCGATTAATGTTTTTTTGACGATTAATTGCAGACGATACGATTATGCCCAACCCTAACCTCAGGTTCTACCCTGTACACGCCCACACTCAACCATAAACAGTCAATGTAAAGTACCTCATTGATGTTGAGATGTATTTAAATCAGTCAACTGATCAATATCAAAAGAAGTGATTGGCCGACTCAGACATGCGTTCCATCGTGSGTCTGGAGGACGACAGGTGCTGACAACTGCTCACGTGAACAGATTGTCTGTAATTGACACAGATTTTCCCTCATTTTGCAGGTTTACAGGTGTTTAGAGTAATGTAATGATTTTTTTCAGAAACACCTTCAGATTTATTTTCTCTCAGAGCCTGCAGGACGATAAAAACAATAAATAAAATTAAATAAGTCAGATAAAGTTAGAAATAAGTTCACCACTCTTCTCCCCCGTCCTCCCCCTGCTGTTATCTGCGGCAGATTGTCTCCCCCACCCCATGCGCGTGAGAAATACGGACATTAAAAAGCAAACCTTTTATAACACATCCACGCTGGCGGGGGCGCACGCACCCAAAGCGTGACTATAACCGAGCTTTTTGCTGTCGTGCTCTGCTGAAATTCCTCTTGTTGGGGAGGGGTGTTTGGGTCAGGGTCATCGTGAGGAGGAGGGAAATGGATGGAGATGCGTGAACTTTTATTCAAGATTTAAATTTTTTATTTCAAAGATCTTTATGGCTCAGCAGCAGAAGCAAAAACAATAGTTTTAAGAAAGCTTATGAGGTGATCTAAAATCTAAGTCTGATTATGAAGTGAAATTAAATATCTGATATGTATATCATGAAACTTTACTTTTTACAAAGTCATTTATTTAGAACATTCAGAAATGTTTTCATGAATGTTAGCTTGTCAAAGTAAACTAAAGCTAGCTGTCACGTTGTCTCGTCTTAAAAAAAACTTTCTCTCCTCCTGGCCACACCTCCTCGCTCCCCACACCCCCCTCAGAGTCTCCACTTYATGCATTTTTCAAATTTGCATTGGGGGCGGAGTTATCCTTTCACAGGGAGGGTAAGTTACACTTTAACAAATGCAAAATAAGTGTAATAAGGTGAGGAGAAAGTAACACTCTTCTTTCTCCATCACTCACATCTTCTAAACTTAAAGCAAGCACCAGTAAGGCCCTATGACTTCCAAAAAGTAGGAAATTATAGAGTTGGACAAAATATGTAATTACTATAAAGCATGAAACCAGAACCAAAGGATGGTGTTTGCTCTAAAACAAGACATGTTGATGTTTTTAAATTCTTTTTTTATTCAGGCAAACAGGCCATAAGAAGAAGCTCAACACTTTCATCAGTTTTCCAGAACAGCTGGATATGGGGCCATTTTTGGACGGCAGACAAGGTAAATGATGTATGTCATATGTTAGTTAGTATACAAATATTTAATTAGATTTCCATCTGAAGACAAATCCATGCCAACAGTGCTGTTTTCTTTCTCTTCAATTATTGGACAACTTCACAAAATGCAGATGCACGTGTCTATCAGCTGAATAAATACTGTACTGCCCCTATCACCAGTATCAAACTAAGTATTGCTTTAATACTTATGAGTACTTCAAACTCCAAACCATTCGGTTGCATTTTGTAACCACTTTTACAAACAGGTTTTTAGGATAACAGAGTGCAATAGTGCTACATGAAAATCTACTCTGTTTTCTTTAAATGAAATAATGACCAAGAACAAGGTTTTAGGTTTCTACACAGGTGCCTATRATTTCTGCAATGTGGAAAACTTGAACAGACCTGGATGTTAAAATGTAATTTGTTGTAAAATGCAGAGTGTTGATATTTGGATGTGATGACATTAAAGTACACTTAGGTCTCTATCTGTTTGGACACATTTTTTTCTTTTTATTGAAACAATCAAGTTATAGTTTTATAATGTACATGGACATAAAGTCCAGACTTTCAGCTTTCCTTTGAGGGTACACACATTAAAAATAGATAAAAGGTTTAGGAGTTCAGCTCATTAACGTATGCCCACCGGCTTTTAAAAGGACCAAAATAAATTGAACAAATGACTCAAAGGCAATTTCATAAGCAGATGTGGGCAATTCCTTCACTGTCTTATTCTCATTTAAGCAGAAAAAAAAAAAGAAAGGGAAAAAAGAACACATTTAATAATTGTATGAAACTGTGTATTTATAAAAAAAAATACATGACACAAAACGCACACTTAATTCTTCAGATTTTTTTTAAAATTCTCAATCCTTAAGAATGACAAAAAACAAAACCGTGCCTCTGTCAGTCTTCCCCTTCATCTACACTGAAGTTTACCACCATCAGTTTGTGTGACTAGGTGAATGTCTGTAATGTAAAGTTGTTTGGAGTCTGTAGGGCTTGATAAAGTGCTATCTATACAAGTTCTGAGTATTTACCAAAACTGCTGGTGTTTCTTTTTGAACCGACTGTTTCTTCAGACCAGAAGTGTGTCTA